TGCACACGGTTTGAAGTATCCTGTCCTAGAGGAAACTGAAGTTCTGAAACACTGCATGCTTATCTGGATGGTTCATTTCCCTGGTCCAGTCACCCACTGCAGCTAAAGGTTACAGGTTTGCATTCCCCAGATTCCAGTACACCAAAGTGAATACTGCACATTGACGTAATTTTGAGCACAGAAACCTTGTGTTTGCCTTCTCTTTTTCATAAATACCGTCAGGCTTGGCAGTGGTACCTAGTTCAAACTAGGTTTACTGACCTGACTTAAAATACGGTTTTAAACAAAGTTTAGAAAGTGCTGTTGATTCGTTTGAAACGAGAACAGTTTGGCAGCTCCAGTCAGCAGTTTCGTCAAGCGAAGCAAGGCAAGATTTGTAGTGGGAGATAGTACCTTTTATTAGGCCAGCTGGTGTTGGGGGAAACAGATGCGTGTTTATATACACAAGCGTTTCAAGTCTGAAATAGAAATAGCAAACTTGAAGTTAAGTACACACTGAGCGCAGTTGTTCTAATTCAATTATAAACTTAATTATACTAACCAGTTAGACGGTTTGAGGGAGCAAGGGGTGCTGGTACCTATGTAGCACAGCGAGAAGCTGACAGAGATAAGGTGGTCCAGGTCACACATTTATCCCCATGGAAGATTTGTCTGTGCCTGGGCGACTGCTGCTGCTGTTTATGGGATGGTGCTGTGACCAGTGCTGAAGGAGCGGTCTGGGTTAAAAATAAATTCTAAAAAAAAGAAGATAACTAGTGATCTGATTCACACCATGGCCTCACGGTTGAATGAGTGTACCTGAGGGATTGGTGAGCGCGAGGGTGGGAATTTGCAGAGCTTTTTGGGCACTAAAGCCAACGTGGCATTTATGTACCTGAAGTCTGTTGGGTTTAGGATTCAGAAAAGTTAGTGTTTTCATGATATTTTGTAAGTTGCCACAGCTCAGGATACGGAGGTTAAAGGTGGGGTGGTAGTTTTCGTGGTGCTAAAAAATTATTCACTTCTGTTGTAAAATGATGTAGCTAAGTGAGAAACTGAACGTGAACAGCTCTATGAGTTTACTTCACTGACTCTTCCAAAGAAAAAAACCAAGATTATTATCGGTACTACATTTCAAAACCAATTATTTGAGCCAGAAGGTTAGGCAGGAGGTGAATAAGAAGCTAACTTTTGGGTACGTGGAAGTAGGCAGATCACATAAGCAATATTTTTCAATTCTGCTACAATTCCTTTTCATTTACACACCATGGTGTACACTTCCACGTTTACTGTTTCTAAGCGGAGAAACTTGACATGTGTTTAATCATTGTCCCAAAACAGTGTAAAGGAATTGGTAACTGTTGCTAAAACTTGTTTTTCAGTAGCCTTGAAACAGTAAGGAGCTAAGTTACTTTGAACTACTTAAAGGTCAGGTCTACATTAGTGCTCCCAGGATTAAAAAAAAAAAAAAAGAACTAATTTTCAAATGAATTGTACAAAGTCTTTGGGACGGTAACACTTGCCTTCAGACTGCTTTTGGCTAATAGTGGAGAAAATTCTCCTTGCTCTGGAAGTGCTGAAGTGCTCGCGTTTGAATTCTCACCTTGCCCGGGGATCCGCGCTTTGGTGGTGAATCCCCACACGTTTCCAGTGCAGGAATGCATGCTGGAAAAACCATTCTCTTGAACTGTAAGTGTCTGCAGCAAAGTTAAATGCAGCCCATTAAATACGGGCCGAAGTGGCCCGCTGAGAATATTTTTAAAACTTTTGAAAGAGTCTATAAATTTCACCGTGTTTCTCTTGAACTTTGAAATACTCTAATGTCTTGAGGGCCAGGGTATAGGCGTGTGCGTGGGGATTGTGGGGAGGAGGAGCCGTGCTGCCAGCAGCTGGGAAGGAAAAGCAAGCCACCGTTTCTTCGATACCAAGCCCGGTCTCTGCTTAGAGAATCGCTGACGGTTTGTGGCTCGAAGATGAGCAATTTGCCAGCTCCAACCCACTTATTAGTTTATGTGTGCACCTTGATCTCCCCACCCCAAACACTGCCAAGGTACCGTGTCTATTTAGTTCTAGTTTACGGTTCTTTAATCGCTCCTGAACGTAGCACCCTATACCTTGTGGACTAACAACTGCTGTCACGGACTATCTAATAATCGGTAATAAGACGTGACAAAATGTCATTTCGAAATGGTGATGATCCAAAGATGTTAGACTTGAGGTGAAGTTGTAACGTTGCAGCCCTTTACTCGCTTTTGTCACTGTGACTTAGTGCAGCTATAAAAGTGCCCTATGCCACTAAAAGATTAACAAAAGGAATTGAACCATTTTATAACCTGGCTGAGCTTTAACATGCTCATCTTTTCATGCGGAAAATATTTTCATATTGATTAAATTACCTTCTAAAAATATTTGACGTTTTTACTACCTCATTTACTGTAAAGAACTGATGTTGTTCCCCTTCCTCGGCCCACCCCTTTTGACTTTTCTGAAAATAGCGTGCATATGCGTACGTCCTTTGTCCACACTGAAGCCTGTGTAGGAGCCACTTGTTTGAATGGTGGTGTCAGTGCAATGAGGGGGAAGGTCGTTTTACAGAAGTGACTTAACAGAGCAATATCCCACATTCGTGGCAGGCACGCTGCTCCTGTAATAAATGTAAATCCATTTATTGCACATCACTGACTTCAGCTATTTTATTTTAAATTCTGTAACCAGATCAAGGTCAAGGAAGCAAAAGATGAAAGGAGAAGGGGAAAGGAAGCCAGAAGAGGGGAGAGGCAGGCAGGGAAGGGGAAGCAGGACAAGGAATGGTTCAGAGCAGGGTTTGAAGGAGGTGAGCAGAATAGAGCTCTCACACTTAGAGGCTGGAGACATGAGCATTACTCATTCAGAGGAACAAAGAAGGAAAATGCGTTAGTCTTCTGGGCATGTAAGAATTGGGAGTATTGCTTGCTTAGATTTTTCTCTTTGTTTATAATTATGTATTGGTACTGTTTCTAAATACCAGGTATACTGTTGATAGTCCTTGCAAATGTATTATTCTTTTTGTAGCCAGTTGCTGAACAGAAGTACTTCTGGACTTCTGACGTGCCGAGGAATTGCTGCAGCGACTGGGAATTCAGAAGGAAGGGTATCCCAAGGCCATTTTAGAATATGCTGTTACAAGATTTTACTGTAGTGTTTCAGTCGGAGATCAATTAAATGTGCTTTTCATTTGATTCACGCTGGAGAACAAACAGTCTGGATCTTCCGATGCCTCTTGAGGTCGATATGTTTTCTTTCACCGAAGGGAGTGTTTTGCTTCTGGTGCTTAACTTCTTCTGCAGTAGTGTGAAATTTCATTTTAAACCCAAATGGCCCTTATAGTTTCACTCAGACTTTATATATATAGTTAAGTGATAGTTAATCTGTTCTCTCGAATAGATACTTTTCCTCTGTCTGAAAGGGTTTGCAGTATCAAAAGTGAAATCATAGGCACAAGAAGCAGCCAAGTGTAAATGTCTGTAGAACAAGGTAGGCTCTGACAGCTGCCATTTAAATATGTGCTAAGGCTGGTGAGATTTGTGGTAAGTTGTTCCAAACTTGCAGTGCTCTTTGTATCTGTGAAGCTCCACATGAGCAGTTTGCAAGCGTGGTATGTTTTTGCATACGTGTAAGGGAAAGGAGAAGGATGATGTGAAGAAGCTGGCTGACTCCAGGAAATAATCCGATCCAATTATGTTGTTGATGTTTAACACCAACTTTACCGAGATGGTATTTCTATATCATGTAAATTGTGTGAGTCATGCGGAACACAGAAGACTTTTCATGGAAGCTGGGGGGGGGGGCCTTAAGAAAGTGAAACATGGTGGCTTATGTTTCCTTTACAGTGAAATAATTCAGAAATAATTGGAGCAAACCCAGGAACTGATTTTCGGAGATGCTCCGCTCTCTGCAAGTAGAGACAGCCTTGGTGGCCACAGAAATTCCCCTGCAGGGGCAGAGGATGTCTAGGCATACTGCACCTAGCTTGGCGCAGTGTCTTCCCCCTGTGTATTGCAGAGAGGGAGTGAAACGTGGATCAGCTTCATCCTCCTCAAATCAGAGGCATTTAGTTTTCAGATACTGCTGCAGCCTTAAAACTTGCAGACAGTGCGGGGCATACGGTCCCTTCTACTCCTTCAGGACCTTGCACAAAAACCATGCATTTGCTCCCACACGTAGGAGAGAACTGGTCCCCAAGAAGGCAGTTTTGTATTTTCCAGAAGAAAGAAGTTGCCTTCCTTGTATTATTTATCACATATATAAAATCAATTTGTGTGTATTTGATTTAAACTTTCCTTTGAGGTTTATAATCCATTGTGTTTTTGAAGGAATTTTCAATAACTTCTCATCCTAGTCCAAAAGCATTTATTAAAAGCAGCTTTAGGCAATCGGTACCTGCACTACAGCAGGAAAGCAGAGCTATCGGCGACTGTTATTTTATGTTTACTAGTTTGAACTCTGCCCTCTGAAAATTTGTGCTGTAGTTTCTCTAAAGCTTTTCTGGTATTAAGTACCTTCTCTGGGAGATTCGCTTGCTCCTGCACATTTGTAAGTGGACACAAGCTAATGTCTTTTCCACTTGAAAGAAACATTTGACAAAGTCTGTCAGGTTTAAGAACCGTAAGCAATAGTTTCCTGAGCCCAGGAAATAAAAATACAGGTTTCTTACACAGATGATCATCTCAAAAATGCTTTCCTTTTAGTATTACAGACATTTGTTTTTCTCTAAACTGTGTTAGGAATTTGTTTTGAGTGGGCAGTAGCAGAAATGTGGAAGATGATATTAGTGATAGATTGCAAATAATTTGATCTGTGTTTTTGAAAATTACAAGTAGGTAATTGCATCTCTGTAGAGTTAGTCCATCACACAGTCTGGATCCTAGAAAAACGTGACCCTAGAGAATCCTACTGATCATACAGAGTCTTATAATCATGAAGCCACTTCACTTTGGCTTTCAGAAATGGAAATGACCATTTTGTTCTTTGTTTTAGGATACCTGTGATCTCTCGTATGTGGAAAGAACGCTAGCAGAAAGGTGAAAAAATGGGTGTTAAAACATTCACTCATAATTCCCCTGCTCACAGTCAGGAGATGCTGGGAAAGCTGAATATGCTCCGCAACGATGGACATTTTTGTGATATCACCATCCGCGTCCAGGACAAAATCTTCAGGGCGCACAAGGTGGTTTTGGCAGCCTGCAGCGACTTCTTCCGTTCCAAGCTCGTTGGCCAAGCAGAAGACGAGAGCAAGAGCGTGTTAGACCTGCACCATGTGACAGTGACTGGTTTTATACCTCTTCTGGAATATGCTTACACAGCAACACTATCTATTAATACAGAAAACATTATTGATGTGTTGGCTGCAGCCAGCTACATGCAGATGTTCAGCGTTGCTAGCACGTGCTCAGAATTCATGAAGTCCAGCATTTTATGGAATACGCCCAACAGCCAGCAAGAGAAGGTGCTGGATGCAGGACAGGAGAACAGCGCAAACTGCAATTTTACTTCTCGAGACGGCAGCCTTTCTCCAGTTTCTTCTGAGTGCAGTGTCGTGGAAAGAACCATTCCTGTTTGCCGAGAGTCGCGAAGAAAGCGCAAAAGCTACATAGTTATGTCTCCCGAGAGCCCCCTTAAGTGTAACACACAAACAAGTTCCCCCCAAGTGCTGAATCCTTCAACTTCTTACCCGGAGTCCAGAAATCAGCCCGTGGACTCGTCTTTAGCTTTCCCCTGGACTTTTCCTTTTGGAATTGATCGAAGACTTCAGTCTGAGAAGGTGAAGCAGGCGGAGAACTCTAGGACTTTGGAAATGCCTGGGCCCTCCGAGTCCAACAGAAGAATTGCAGATTACGTGACTTGTGAGAGCACAAAAGCCAGTTCTCCCCTTGTGATTGAAGAAGACGTGCGCGTCAAAGTGGAGAGGTTAAGCGATGAGGAGGTTCACGAGGAAGTATCGCAGCCTGTTAGCGCATCCCAGAGCTCTCTGAGCGATCAACAGACAGTCCCAGGAAGCGAGCAAGTGCAGGAAGATCTCCTGATCAGCCCACAGTCTTCCTCTATAGGTACGACCATTTCTGGGGTTAGATCTATGTACAAATAGGTATGTGTGCACTTGTGATTTTACTGGAGGAAGTCTGCTTCACGTTCTTTCATGCTTTACTTTTGTGAAACTGCATTTTGTTTTCCGTTTTATGAAATGTTACATATAAACCCCTGGTGGGGGGACGGGACTTGGAGCTCTTTAAATAACTTTGCAGAAGGCGGCTAAGAAAGGTAAGCCTGTTGATAGACCTCCTTATTCGGAAGAGATTGATAACCCCTCTTTACCTCTGGTTGCTTGACTGGGGAAAATAATTCTGTTTCCAGTAGTGTCAAAAGGCATGATCTCAGCTGAGCTGCAACACCAAATCTGAAAGACTTGTGGCCGTAGCCACAGAGGGATAGAACGGTACTTTGCATCAGACATAAAATCTTGTATAATCATGACAGAGAGCCTTTGTAAGAAGATTTGCAAAATAAGCGGTGGAACACTGTCATCTTAATGCCCCAGACGAAAACAAAACCACACAGTCATAATATTGAGAATCTTTCCATTTCTGTGGGATTCGGTTCTCAAGTTGCTTCTTCAAGTACTGCCAATTGCTGAGAGAAACCTTTTTTCCGTGAAAGACAATTTGAAGCCAATTTCGGGTTCTTCTAGCAGGCTGTTGTTTATTAATAGCTAATACTTGAAGGTTACTGTAACAATCCTTTTTTTCCTCTTTGCGCAGAAGGCATTGAGTGGCTTTTAGTAAGTCAGAAGATAGGGGGTTTGCAATATTTCTAGTTTAATTACCAAATTTTTGCCTAAGTCAGCTATTTTGCTTTCAGTTAAGTGGCTTGACCTGTGCTCGGTAGAGTTTGTTTACTGGAAGATTTTTAATAAAGCCTGTTTTGTTTGAAGACCATAAGAATGGCAAATGTACTGGTCTGCTTCATTCAAATAATGTATACATGAAAGGCTGCTTCAGTTAATTAAATGAATAAACTACAACAAAGTAAATAAATGTAGCCTAGTAGCCTGCATTATTTGTTGTGTTTGGTCAGCATAACACTGTGCCTTCTCTGAAGAAAGTGAGTGTTAGATCAGTCTGACCATTCCAGGATTGCAATATATAATCAGTGCTGTTAAGCTATTCAGGTAATACTCACTACAAAGAAATTAAAATATTTTCCATTTATCCCATCCTTCAAGACTTTATGTTGTTGGTTTTGTTTGTCGGTTTGTGTAGTTCGTGTTGATATTTTAGATCGGTAATGCTTTTTCCAAACGAAAATGTTTTTTTTTACTGGAGACAAGGCTGTTTGCCTTTTCTGAGAAGCAGACTTAATATCAGTTTAAATATAAATCTTTAAATGTAGTTTGCCAAAATAGCGCATAGATGAAAAACTAAAAGAAACAATTTGCTTGCTGGGTAGTCTCCAGGAAAAGCGGTCCTTGTTCAAGAAGAGGTTTAGTTGGACTCAGTTTTTAACTCATTATAGTAGGAACTTTGGAAAGGCCTCGCCAGGGCCATGCGATAAGAGATGCAAGTTATTTCATCAACATTAATTGTACCATCACAGACAAAATAGAACGAGTAGAAATAATTATTAGAGAAAGTTAACAATAGCATATCAAGTGAAAGGAGGGAGTTTTACCAACTAAATATCATACCCAAGCATCTTAAAAGAACAAACTGGGTGTAAATTCCAGATTACAGACGAGTAGCATACGATCTACGGAAGTTTTCAGAGGACATCTCTTGGAGTTAGAAATATCAGAAAAATTGCGTAGTCAAAAGCGGCTTGAAGGAATTAGGACGTGAGAATGTGAGACTAGGACTGAATTGTAGAGAGAGAGGTGCCACTGAATGCTATAAAATCTCCTTTTCTAAGAGAGTCTTAGCGTTAAACAAAAATTACTTCGAAACGCACTCCAATAGTAAGGCACCTTACTGAATTCTGTTCTTGCTTTAGCCAGTTTCCCGAAATGATTTCTGTTGACAAGCAACTTTGCACATCCATCTTCAAAAGCTATCTGTTTTGAAGCCACGTGATGTTTTGGGGAAAGTTTTCCATTTTCTATTTCCTATTCTAGCTTTTGCACCACTGAGGTCATGTACCTGACCATTTGTACGGCATGGGGCAAAGGATCTTAGGCTTTAGTGATTATAATGTTTAAACTTAAATGTCTGTTACTGAGGATATTAGTACAGCATGTTCTTCCTTTAAATGGCTACAGAGAGAAGAAAAATATGCTAGCCCCAAACCTTCAAAGTACAAAGCTGTTCTTTGTCCATGAATATGTTTGAATTAATGTTTAGTGGTCTTTGCATAACATTATTAACTATCCTCATAATAGGTTTTATTCACATTTTGCTATAAAGAGAAACAGTGCTTTTGCTTTTTAGCACAGTTCACATGTTCCTAATACATGATAAGGCACGCTTTGTAGCTGGAAAGCACTTTTTACCTCCCAAAGATGTATTTCCTTATGCAGTAACATAACAACAGTAAATGGAAGCAGCAAGATATGTTAAATTACAGCTTTCTCTTCCTTGAGCATATTTTCCTCGTATAATTGCATGTATTTATCTCAATGTTTTATAGTGCATTTATAAAAGCATTCCTGCCTCTCCTTCTCCTTCCGATCTACAAAAAGCTCTTATTCACTCTTTGGGCAATTTCAAGAATTGTTCATTTGCAGTTTATTATATTTGGAAGCACTTTATAATATGGAAGGAGACGTGAAGCAGGGCCTTGATAAATAAGTTATTATGGTTGCAACAATAGTTATGTCTGAGAAGATATTTTCATAACTCATTGACACTGTTTCCATTTGAGAGGTGAAGGCGTAAAATAAAACCTGAGAGCAATTTGGCTTATTCTTCAGTAGACTTTCGGTTAAGTATTTCATGAGAAAGAAGGATAAATCAAAATGGGATAAATTTTTGTAACTTTATAGATTGCATAGTTGCTGAATTTCCCAAACATGGTTTGTCAGCTTGTAACAAAATTAAAAATTTTGATTCTATTAGTGTTATTTTGAAACTGCTAGAGATGCAAGTTTCCTCCCATCGCTGGCCCCATAACATGAGGTCGCGTTAGGACAATAATCTTTCACTTCAGTAAGGTTTTGTAGAACACTGTCCTTTATAGGGACAGCCTTTTTTGGAGACACTGCTCTCGTTCTTTTTGACAAAATAAGCACATTTTCTGCTTATCTTCCCATGTCTTTGTTCCTTCTCTTTGGTTTTCCATTTTGTCTGACGCTTGTCATTGTAGACCTAACGATACTTGATTTTCCTAGTGAGCTTTAGAGAAGGGTTCCCAAATTCGGATTGCTCATGTACCACTCTCTTAGAAAGCAGAATTATTTTTACCATAGGAGCAAGAGCAGCTCCTAGCACTGTCCTCAGCTTCGCTCGTTCTCAAGGTGTAGGTGTAGAGAGAGAAATTGCATTCCCCCACCTGTCCTCATCTCACGTGGATTCGGTGGTGGACACCCAAAGGCTGCTTGGCTGTTCAGAAAAGTTCGAGCGGTGCTTAGTATTCAGTCTCAACTGAGGGAAAAGGAGGCAAGACGGAATTACTTCTGCGCCACTTCAAGTGGCTTTCATGCTACTAATCATACACATGTCATGGTTTGGGAACCCCTGTTTTGGAGAGGAATGACAGCAACTCTGATCCTTTTGAAATTTGGCGGAGTTCAGTCATTCATTTTTCTCATCTCCCATTGCACCCATAGACATCATCAGAGGAAAAGGAGGAATGCGAGGAGTTCCAGTCTGCTCTCTGCACTCACTTTAAAGACGGAACGACACGTGGTTTATCTAAATGGTCACACGTAACCAAACCAGACGATTTTTTTTTATCAAGGGGTATTGTTGGCAGGGGGTGGGTACCAGTTCTTAGGATTGTTTTAGTACTGTACTGCCAACTTCCCTCTCTGTTACGGTGACATCAGGCCAAAATAACCTCGCTTAATACGCCTAAACAAGGATTGAACGCCAAACTGCAAGTGGTGATGAGGGAGGCCCGTCTGAGCAACAGCCACATCAGGTGAACGAAGTTGTAGTTTTGCTTCAGTGCTGCATTTACCTTAGATTCTGTTTCCAAAACCCACTTGAGCTACATTTGCTTGATTGTTGGTGCACTGAACGAAGCTCTGGAATGGTTTTGTGTATACATTTCTCTTACAAACAGATGTTTGGTCTCTTTTGTGTTGCATTTCTGATTTCTCAGAGGGCTCTTCCTGTCTCAGCATCTTATCAATAAATGAAGGCATTATCAACGAATACATATACATATGGACGATTTGGAACACAAAAGCAATGTAGCGTAGCAGGATTGAACTCCTTGTTGCTCAAGAAGTCTTGAAAACTGGTGAAATAGTCCCTTTAGGTGAAGGTAACATTTCTGCTTTACAGTGTTAGTACTGGATGTGTTTTGAAAACTCTGGCTGTCTTTAACATAGATTCTTTCCATTTTCTAGGTGTGCCGAATATTTGCCCTTTATTGAGTTGTCCATTTACTAGATAAACTGTGCAGAGGAGAAGTTGAGCTGGAACACGTTGCTTCTGGGTTTTCTAAAGGATTTTCTCAAGACAATTCTATTATCTTATCACCCAGGAAGCAGTGTGTCTCAGAGATTTGGGAAAGCAAGCTTTATGTGTAAATTTTACCTGCCCCCCCAACCCTTTTTGAACACTTATTTGCATTAAATTGCCCTTTTTTCTTTGCCTAGGCTCAATAGATGAGGGGGTTACGGAGGGATTACCCACACTCCAAAGTACCTCTGGCACTAACGCTCATGCAGATGATGATGATCGGTATGTACCAATGTGGTGTGCAAACTGTTCCGCAGCAAGTGCTGTGCTGTAATTAACCTACCCAGCCTTAATCCCAGAATGTTCAGTTGTTCGTACATCTACTTGTCTGTGTTGATCAAAGTACAATCAGCGCCTGAAGGATCAGATGCTTTAGAAGAATGTAGGTGATGAAAGTCAGAATTTGCTTACTTGTTGCTTTTCATTTCCTGCCTATTTCCAGGCAACACTGGTGAAGAAAGATATTCATGTTTTAGCTTTTTCTTCATCACTGCTCTTTATTAATACATAAATAATTAAAAAAGAAATCTTTACTGTGAAACAGGTGTGGTAGTTGCATGCATGCGAAAGCTGACGTAAAGCCACAAAAGCAACAAAATGAAAACACGTACCTCGTCTCGGCTTCACCAGAGTATGCTATTGCCGTAAGCCACAGAGCAGGCAGAGCAGCCTTAAATCTTTCCTCCCAAACTTTCTGCACGTAGCTTCTTACCAAGATGCTGTGTGTCATTTACTGTAAATATTTAGCGGCCTTTTGCTGTGCTGGGATGAGTGATTTATTAAGGGAATCCCTTATAAGGGAAGGCTGGCAGAGAAGGCCGAACTAAAATGGGTCTGTTTGGCCGGAGATGTATCGTAGTTCTGTTAGAGCGAAGCGATGTACCTGCAAGTGGCATACGAGGGTACACGCAACTGGTTTGGCTTTTATTTCTTTGCTTTTGTGGTACGTGTCAAGTATGGCGTATAGCTAGCTGTTCCCTTTCTAAGCAAAATTTTTAAAGTATTGACAAGCTGGCTTTTGCCTAGTACTTTGTTAGACAAGTGGGTCTGAGGAAGAAGTGTGAACCTTTGGGAGTTGTTTCGGAAACTGTGTCAAGTGAAACTCCCTGTAGAGATAACTATCGAGAGCTGCATTTTCATAGCTCATAAAATCTTTCTTGCCATTTCCATCTAAAACCTGGCCCATTGTAGGTTTATATCTGAAGGGAAAATAACTGCCTCGATAAGATTTTTTGTATGACAGAGAAGATTTTATCTATCTGCTAACAAACCTCAGTATAAAAATAATACCCAGCACTTAGGGTTTGAATTGAGAGTAGGAGCACATGTTGCATTAGAACTAATCCAGGCTTTTAAAGCTATAATTCTAAAGTCAAGTGGCATACATATTTTCAGCAGTGGATTATTTCAGAAATTTCCTATAAAATTGCAGAGCTTCTGAACAAACTGCATAGAAAATTCAAAATATATAAAATCCTTTTAACACACTGGAAATTCCTGCTAAAATATCTCTTCCGTGCAGGGAGGGAGAGAATATTTGCCTTAGTTTATGTCCAAGTTTGAAAATAATTAGTCTCAGAGTAACAGAAGCATCAGCAAAATGAACTAGAATTTGCACATTGTTTATATAACAATAAGGGAACTAATAGTTATGGGAATTCGTAACAATTTCAGACTCCAGAACTAAAATTTTCTACCAAGTGATTTATTTTATAAATTCAAATGAAAGTGCCAAGACTGTACTCACTGCGTGAATCGGTTAAATGTGTAAAATGGTGCTTTCAAGTCCTAAGAAGTTTTCTTTCATATGCGTGCGCGTATACGCCTGTCAGGGTGGGACAGTGCATTCTGATGCGCTGTGACAGCCCTTCAAGCACTGGACTTTTGAATTCCCATTTCAAGCGCAGGATGGGCACATCAGCAAATAAATACAGCTTGTGCAGCAATTTGGGCACGCAGTTTTAGGTGCATAAAATGAGATAATACAGAATTCTGAATAAAACCAAATGTTCAGCTCTAGCGGAATCAAATGAAAACACGATTAATAAATCATACGGATGGAGAAAGTTTCCCTCACTTTTTGTTTGGTATTTTCTTTAATGCACCTTTAGTTTAAGTCCAGGTTGTACATTGCTTTATTAGTAGAGATTCTCAAAATGTCAAAATCAGTTGTGAGTGGCCAATGCAAATTTATATTGAGAAATATGTATTTGAGTATGTATTTATTATCTTTCTATTCATAAAAAAGAGCGAAAGACCGTTCCATCTCAAGGTCTTCCAATAGGACATCCATATCACTGCGGAAAGAATCATAAATACTTCAAAACTGAGGATATCCTCTCTCTTGAGTTTCTGTGTGAAATAATTAACACAACTAATTGATCCTCCTCCATAATCAGTGTTTCATAAACAGCAGGTCACATGTAATTGTTGTCAGCTTAATAGGCACACAGGAATCTGTTAAGTATTACAACTACTGTTTCGCAGTGAAATCTGATGTATGCTTTCTCTGATATTTCGCATTTGGATTGCAATACACTTTTCTAGCGTAGATCTGTAATTCAGCCGTGGCTGGTTTAACAGTCAGTCTCTGTATCAGTTCGTGGCTGCATTTAAAAAGGAGTTGCAGAGGCTCAATTGTAAAAGATCTCTCTGATCCAATGTAATGAGAACCTCCACTTTTCTAAGATAATTGTTATTTACAAACAGAGAACATTTCTAGGCTCACTGAGCATTCTGGCGTTCACGTTTGTCAGAGTTTAGTTCTACATAGTTAAGTATGTATATAATCTCTTGGTGAAAAGAAGAAAAAATTGCACGTAGGATACTTGAGCGTTACAGTGAAAACATTTTAAACCTATCTCTGTATCTAGCTGTTACAGAAATTCTCTGAGATGTTAGACGAATCTCAACTGTTAAATGCCACATTTATCACAAATTGCAAGTCATGAAAAATTGAGTGTACGTGGGGAAAAAGAAGCAGGGGAGAGAAAATATAATTGTGTTTCAAATGTAATTTCTTCGTTGTGCTAAGGTCCGCAGTTGTGTCACCAGGAGGTATTTCAGCCTGCTTGCAGTGTAAGGATGGAAAAAGACATGCCAGTCACTGGTAGCTGGAGAGCCTCGTGATTCCCATTTTATCTGCTTTAACCAGCCTTTCTCATCATGAAGCTTTTGTGTAGGAAAAAACCAAACTTTATCTTAAATTTCTTCTAAGGAGATTGTCCCCATAGCACTTCTCCTTTCTGTTTCAATTGCAGAGAAGCTGGCACCAGTACAGGCTTTGAGGATGAGCTAGCCCGAGAAAGCTGGAAACAAAAGGAGAGCTGTGGCTCCTAATTTCTACCCTAGTTTGAGTGTCTCCCTAGAAAGCTCTAGGAGCACGATACGCTTTTGCCTCTTCACAATCCCCTAACGCGGGAATGAGGGAGGAAGGACCTAAGAAGCATGTTACCAGAAGATGAAGTTCTCTATAAAGCAAGTTAAACGTCACAGAAAACCAAAATGTGATTCTTATGTGAGCACACTAGACGTGTATATCTATATGTACATCTAAGAGCAGGAGTTCCTGCTGCCCAGCCAGTCATCCCTTTATCACCCCTGCATTGCAGCTGTCACTTCTGTTGGCACATAGCTGTGAAAATTTTGATTGTGAATTCTCCAGTTGGCTGAGCGCAAGGAAACCTTTTCTGAAGGGATTTGCCCCTTAGCCAGACTTCATGACATTTGTCATGTCCATCCTGGGCCCAAATCAGTTTGGCTATTTGATTATTAGGTTATTATGGCAGCTGGACTTCTATGCCTTATGCTTTTTTTGCACTGTTGGTCTTTTTTTTTAACATTTATTTTTGGATAACAGGCCTCTCTGTTAGTCATACCAACTCCAGAGACAAAACTAGTGTTTCCACATCTGAGTAGAGTAAACTCTGTCCTTTGTCTAGTGATCTGCTCACAAAGGGGAACAGGAGTGCCAGAGTTTACGTCAGAAATTTGCTTAGACAAATCAGGACCCTCACTTATTTCAGGTGCATTTGGTGAGCCATCAGTTGGCTTTTTTAGACCCCTAATTGGCAGTGAACTACATTCTGCCAGGCCCAGGATATGAGCTGGTAACTTCCCTCTTGCAAATATTCCCTTTAGCAAAGATCAACAAGTCTGTCAGCATCTATCTTTTCCACAGCTCTCTAGGACCCTACTGTGTGTAAAAAGAAGTGAAGGACAATAAAATTTCTTCCTTAGAGCAAATATTATTCCAATTCCATGTGAGACCAGAAATCCTTACGGGTTTTACAGACTGATTGGTACTAAGCTCCTGCAGGAAACTCTTTTATCTTGTGTATATTGAGAGATACCTGGTGCTCTCTCGCTCCAGATTTACAACTGGAACTTTTGCTTCTGAGACCCGCCATTGTACTCAGAATTCAGATACCCGGTTCTCAACAATTGTATTGACATCCATTTCCAGAGTAGATGGAAAGGTATTGATTTTAAAGAGATTTAAAGAGATGACCCTAGTTCTTGTCCTTCTGTGCTGATCCGGTCTGTGGATTTTTGTATGATGCGTGTGCAAAGTGCACGTTTCATTCCTGTGAACGTTCGAAGTCCACAAATTCAGCCTAACCTTGAAACCAGCAATCTGGGCTCGAGGTGGAAGCAGACCAGCAAAAGGATTTGTTCAGTTAGGGAGACTTTCTGACTATGTGCAACAGGAGACATCGTTGTACTTTTTTCTCAATACATTTCAGACATTACAGTTTAGTAAAACTAAAATTGCATTGTTCTGGCCATGGAATATTCAGGGTGAGAGCAGTTCCCTGCTGCCAGTGACGTCTGATCTTCCATCAGGCTGTGAGCAAGCTGAAATGTCTATTTCAACAAAAAATATAGACCTTAATGCTCAGGAAAGGGAAACCCCAGGTAAGTACAAACTCCTATTGTTATTATGTTTGTACCAGCAGATTTGTTTTTATTTCACTATGCCCTTTAGCAAAGCAAGTTCCTTGCCAGAGGACTTGGATTATAACACTCTAGTTCCCTTAAACAGTTTGCAGCTAGAGGCTGTGTAGGAGCAATTAGTCAGTTCTAAATAAATTACTTTGAAAGTTAAGTTGTTCCTCTATCATAGTCTGTGTGCTGTTTTTTAAATACAGCGCTTGAGCTCTTCTCATAGAGCCGATCGATTCAGACAAGGAACAAGTATTGATTAATTAGATTAATATTTTAAACTTAGAAATATGTAATTGTAGATACTAATGTTTGTTCATTGAACTTGGATTGAAAAGGAAATGAATCGGCTTTAATTTCATTTGCAAATATCACTGAAGCTGCAAAATACTCCTTTGCTTTCCGGTTCGCTCAGTTCTTTAAATTCTTCCTCAGGGACTGTTTGCTGATTGTAAATCATCGATATGCTTGAGAAAATGCCCATGCCTGGAAAATAAAGTTCCGTTTGCAGCTGGCGCTCAGACCTGTTGCCCCAAGGAACAGAAGTCAGAGGTTATTCTCTGGTTTTGTTCAGATGTGCAAAGTCAGTGACTGTAAGACTTCAGATGCAGGTCAAGACGCATTGCTATAGAGGCAGAGATTGCCAGCGTAAATATAGATCTCAACATAAACGCGGAAGGCCAGTCTTTTTCTCCTTCTCATACCAACGTGTTCAAGGTTCAGATTTCCACGGGCAAGGCTTCTTATTTTTTTCCTCTAGTTGCTTGTAAATCAGTGAATTTTTTCTTTGTAGTTTGGAGAACGTTCAGTATCCCTACCAACTCTACATTGCTCCTTCTACCAGCAGCACAGAGAGACCCAGCCCAAATGGTCCAGACAGACCTTTTCAGTGTCCAACCTGCGGGGTCCGGTTCACTCGCATTCAGAACTTAAAACAACACATGCTTATCCACTCAGGTAAGAAACGTTACTGTTTCCAGGATTTACTGATTTATAGACTCACAGAGGTTTGCTCACTGTGCAGCAAATATAATAATGCAATTCTTTTTTGATCGCCTGCCAAGTGCTCGAGAACTGATTTCAGAAAGATTGGGTAGAGGTATGTCTCATTGAATGCTTGTTTTGATACATCAAATCTGACTGATAGCTCTACTCATGGATGATTAGCGTTTGTGTGGACTGAAAAAAATCTGGTTGCCTGAAACTCATCAGAATAAGTCGTTTTCACGATAAAGATTTGAGATGAAATAAAGTCTACTTGGCTTTTTTATTATACTAAAGAAGAAGAAATTCTTCCTCTTACATGTTGTAATTGTCTGCTATGTTTTAGAGGAGACTTGCAGGTAATATAGAAAATATTATCTATCTTACGTCCTTGCATTGAAGAATGTTGTATGCCTTTGGCTCTCAGAATATTTGGAGGGATTGCAGAACAACTGAATTGGTTTGATGATCAATTTAGCTACTACAGATAGTACAGGTAGCAAAAGGTTTGTGTGAATGCCTCCTCTGAGTCTTGGTCCCCAAATTGTTGCATTCATTTTGATTTCTAACCTAAGTATGAACTCCGAACGTCTTTGCTATCAGTGTTTCTCAAGACTTGTCAGCATTATCTGGCAATAGCATTGACATTTTAGTGAATGAAGGGAATATTAAGGGGTTATTGCACTTGAGCGCTAAGCCTCGTGGTTTAGCATCTCCTGGTTTGAGCTTGACTCTTACCTGCACACAGATGCTGTACCATTTTTGGCAGAGCAACCACAATTGTCAAGGTGTAATTTTTTCACTGTCAGCGGTTATTTGTCAAATCCCTTTAAGCAAAATGACCGTACTGTGTTTAGGCCAGCAGTAGTAGTACGTGTTTAATACTTAAAAAAGCGAACTTTGTGGGCATATCGGGTGCGAAATTATCCCAAGCCAGTTGCTAGAGTCTTAACTGAGAGCAGACAGACAGACTTCAGCAGAGCATCTCTGGCCAGCCTGTCAACTGGCAACCCCTGGGCAAAGTTGGGAGAGATTTGAATAGCTGGTTTAGAGTAATTAGCATGCAAAAGAAACTCTCAAAACTTGTAAATGTTGAAAGTGTTTTCACATAAGCAAAATGGCTGAAGAGATTTTCCTCAGACTATCAGAGGAAACAGATGCCCTTGGACAGTACGAACACATGAAAAGTTTTAGCTCCACAAGGCAATATTCTGGTATATTAACTTGTTTTCACATGCTTAACAAGGAGCTTCAGTGTAACCTTAACTACAGCTTTCTCTATAAAAGCCCCAATTAAAAGTGCAGCTCCCGCTTTGAGCATAAGGAAAGCAGAGTGAAAGACTGGTGGAATTAACAGCCTGGACCGATGCACATTCGGCCTTTTGAAAAAACCTTTTTTATTCCTTGACAGCCCTATTATGAATAGAGCTCCATATTCCAGATTCTTGGCCTCATGTTTGGATTTCCACACTTTCTGGAGTTCAGACTTTTTATTACATTTTAACTTTTTGGTGATTCAGTCTTTTATGTTGTAATAGTTCTGTTCGGGTGTGATTATGTACTCTCAGCCATTGCAACGTGTTGCAGAGCTCGTATGTTTTAGGGTTTTATTAGTGCTTGTAATAAATGAAAAGTGAACTAGTAACAGAATTTCTAAATTAATACGAGAAAAAAATGAGAGGCATGAACCTAAGCTGTCCTAGAGAGCTGTCTGTCTTGCAAAGTTGCTGAAGATTCTTGTGTAGAAAGGTTCCCATGCAATATAAAGGCTGCCACTTCACCCTTTTATCACCATTCCTGCTGCATTACAGGGGCATCCTTGTGCACACAGTCCCCCTGCCAGAACACTTCTCTGAGGCCAAAGGCAGCCAGAAAAAGACATTGCAATTAAGGGTCGTCTGATAATCGCATTGTTGGGAACCAGTCTGGCACAAGAATCTCCCGAGATCAAAAGAGTTCAAAGATGGTTCGAGGTGACTGCTGCATCGGATACTTTTTGGCTGTGGCTCAGGATCTTAACCACAGTATAATCCACAGAGGCTTATTTTCATTTTAAACCGTGGGGAAGAAGACGTGTAAGCGTTACAGACAGGTCACATTGTTCTGAAATCTATTGGCAGTTGGTTCTGAGAAAGCATAGCTCTGTGATAATTGTTTCTGCCATTTTAAAGTTAACCAGAGAATTTCTTCCTAAAACAGCGCTTCGCTGTGACTGGTCACAGCTGCTGCCTTTTTACTGTTAGAAATCTGGAAGGATTTTGCCAGTGACCTCTCATTACAGAAGGTGAACGTTTTTTTGCTCTCTCTTCCGCAGGCATTAAACCATTTCAGTGTGACCGCTGTGGGAAAAAGTTCACCCGAGCTTACTCGCTAAAGATGCATCGCCTGAAGCACGAAGGTAAACGCTGTTTCCGGTGCCAGATATGTAGTGCCACTTTCACTTCCTTCGGGGAATATAAACACCACATGCGGGTTTCCCGGCATATTATCCGCAAGCCTCGGATTTACGAGTGCAAAACATGCGGCGCCATGTTCACCAACTCTGGAAATTTAATCGTTCACCTGAGGAGCTTGAACCATGAAGCGTCAGAGCTAGCAAACTACTTCCAGAGCAGGTGAGGTGCACAGCAAAAACCTAACAGGGAAACTTGCCTTTTTTTTTTAATATCCTTTTCTTTTTTTTTTTTTTTTTTTCCTAAATCATCTTTTCCTGCTTTCAGGGCAGCCTGCTGTGCCTCTCATCAGGTTGCCAGCTAATTCCAGTCAAATTCATTCTTGCGCCACTCTCTGTTGTATCTGATCTGTCTTGCAGCATATAAGCTATATAGGAGGGCACTGAAGAATCGAGTGATATGCAGAAGCTGCTTCTGGGCTACTTAATTTCTCTTCTCAGTAGTACCTATGGACAGGCTAATGGTGTTAAGCCATAGCGTTCTATACTATAGTATCTGTGGAGTTCTGTGAATGATTTGCTATTCAAAATCTCATACAAAGCCTGTTCACTTACATAGGGAATAGACTTACTACTTCATTTTACGTACTTGCTTGATGGTGGATTTTGTGGAAAGATTGCATGACTCCATACCTTCTCTTTTTTCATTTTCTAGGTAACATATTACTAAATGATCAGACTAATAGGGTTTGAAACAGTAAGGGCCAGCTGGACATTTCTTGTTTATCAGGCCGAAAAAGACTTGGCGTATCTCACAAATGCACTTCACTGAAGACTATTTAAAAGGGTTCTGAGGCGTGAGACTAGCATTCTGTATTCTCAGATTGAAATAAACGTTTGTAACCGTTGGAATTTGAGATCGAAAAATACAAAAGTGGATGAGGGAAATTGGAGGAAGATGGATCTCACAGCTCTTAAATCTATAGAGAGGGTGCCGCTTGGTGTCTATAAGTCATCTGTCTTCAGCAATGCAAAAGAAATGTATTGTAAATGTTACGGCATCTACAATACCATCCCTCGTGATTTCTAGACGTTGTGCTTTTTCCCCCTACAAAACTATTTCAGCATTTTGTTCTAATTGGTTGTCTCAGAAGTGACGTAGGATGAAAAAATTGCAAAACAAACCAGGAAAACCAGTCGCTGTTTTTCCAATGGAATATTGTTTAAAAGTACAAGTGCTTCATATCTGTGGGTTTACGCAGTTCTTGTTCTTAGCACTTGTGCCAGAACTAGAGCGAAAACTCTAAGGGATGATGCCATGATTGTGGTAAGCACTTTATTGTTGTCGTCAAATGAAAGTCGGATTAAAGTATGTGATTTTAGTTGTCTGTAGGCCGTCCTTTAGTTTGAACTTACAAACACTAGGTTTAGCATAGTTGATTGTGAATTTGGATTTGAAGCTGTGAATGCTGCTGTCATTTAAGAAAAGGACTGCTTTTAAATGGATGATTACAAGGAGGAACCAAAGCATACCAACGTGCACATATGTAATGTATGTATACTTGCCTCAATTACAAACTTACATGTCTGGTGCTGAAAATTTGCAAAGAAATTTTATTTTCGTTATGTGCTCATGCTCTGAAAATACTACTGGAGAGTTCGGTAGATTTTCTTTGGATACACTCAGCCGTCAGTTGGTAAGAGTAAGTTACAGAACTGTTGTCCAGAAAGGACTGAAACGGGAAGGAAATGCAATTCCGTTCTTTTCACAGTAGCGTGATACGTGTCAACATCACAAAACGCCGCTGTGGTTGGCAGCCTCCTTATGCTTTCAGCAGAACCCTTGCTCCCTCGCCTCATGCTTCTGTTTACAGCCTGTCCACTCTGAGAGGAGTGCTGCTGCTGTTGCTTGGGTGGATCTTATCTCAGTGGTGGAAAAGGCCCGCATCTTTGCCAGTGCTGAACTCATTTTTGTTTCTATTTTTAAAGGTTGAGTGCTCCCTTTTTTCAATGAGGTTTTCAGTGCCATATGATGTTCCAGACATTAACTTTCATTCTCATCAAGGTGATACAATCTAAATAATAAGAAGTTGCTGTGTAGGAAATATGGATGCAAAACAATGCGAAATAGATGCCTTTGAATAAATTCTCTGTGTGTTTAAATGAGAACCAGGTTATAGTGCTTAGTGAAGTATGTCGCTGTGATGATCTTAGAGCAATGTGAAATGAATATCTTTGTTCTCTGTGCAATGCAGTATGTCGCTTGTGTGATGTAACTGATACAAAGAACTGATATCGCTAATGTTTGGGTGAGAAATGACATTTCTCTTCTGTCCTTTGCCCCTCTTCTAGTGACTTCCTAGTACCGGACTACTTAAACCAGGAACAAGAAGAGACCCTCGGGCAGTATGAGCTAGGGGAGCATGGCTTTGAAAGCAACTCTTCTGTCCAAATGCCTGTCATTTCACAGGTGTCATCAACTCAGAATTGTGAAAGCACTTTCCCCTTGGGGTCTCTGGGTGGGTTGGCAGAGAAGGAAGAAGATGTGCCAGAGCAGCCAAAGACTAACGCCACTGCTGAGGCAGCCGCAGGTGACCCTCCGAAACCGGAGCTGTCATCTATTACTATTGAATAATTCATGGTTTGGTTTCATTTTTGTTCTTTGGAAAGTGCCTGTGTTTGGTCCTGTACATTTTAATTTAATTTTTTTAAACAAAAGTGGGGAGATTATCCCTTTTTACTTTGTAAGCTACGCTTTAAACAGAAAACTGCAACAGATGTTACATTATTTTTCATGACTGAATGATCACTTCTGTGAAAATATTTAAGACTGAATGCACAAAAAGATCTTGTCAGAACATCATGGAAGCTGTGATACACTTCTAAAGAAGAACAACTGATTCAGATCACTTTAACTATTTCTTCTTCCACAGTTAGAGCAGCTCATTAAGTTTCTCTTGCTTCTGCAGACCCTCTGGTTAAGGGAAAGAAATCAGAGGAAACCTTTTTAAAATGACAAACAAAAGGATGCATTGGAAATCGTTATTGAACAGTTTTGACTAGTTTTGAGTGGATGCTTTAATCTTCTGCATAAAAAAATGACACTTCCTATCTCTGTGCCTGCTGTTTTTCAAAGCGCTTACTGTAACCCTTTTCTTGGAAATGGTAAGCATTTTTGAAACTAACAGTCACACATTTTTTAAAAACACATTGTCCCTTTTCATCTGAGATGAATCAGTTTTGACAAACCAAGTGATGTCATGCCAGGTATTCCTACGTCTTATACTCCAGTCCTTTTAGAAACTGCTTGATCAAATAGCTTGTCCAGATTTGCCCATCTAAGGCTAGGCATGGAAACACTACGGTCAGGAAAAGTCTAATGGTGCATAATGAATTGAGGATGATAGAAAAGTATATATCCGTGCAAGCCTGACAAATCTCTCATGACTGTATCTTTCTGTAGAAGGGGAACCACGTGTGAAAACGAAGGTTTTTCCAAACTGAAATTCTGAAATTGTGGCCAGATTGTTTGCGGTTCTGGTCACTTCCCCCTGCCATATATACTGTAATTTTACTAATCTCCAAAAGCTAGCTAGAGGGAGTTTACAGATGGGGAAAAATGAGCTCTTTTGTGCATTATTGCACATTTTTTTGTTTATACTTCTGCATGTATAGTTTCTGAGATTTTTATTAGTCTGTTTTGGACAAAACAAGCAATTTATTCTCTTTAGAGGCCAACTTTCTAACCCAACAGGGGGTTGTTTACAAAAAGCCTATATAGCAATGATGAATTGTTCCTGTTTCAAAACATTTTAAATCCTTGCCAACTCGGTTTATTAACGGCCATTACTCCAGCTACATACACAGCTCAAGTAAGCAATAAATTGAAAGATTTGCAATTTCATTTTTCCATATTTAGAAAAAGCTGCAAATTTAGGGTGTCGGATTTTCAGAGCAGTGAGTCTTGTTTTGTCGAGGCTGTTTGGGCTATAGGACTGCTTTGAAACCTAAATTAGGAAATACATTAGGAGGTTTGTGATTTTTTTTTTTTTTTTTAATTGCTTCTGAAAGTTAACTCGGTGTTTGATGCCAAATGCCTATCGCCTACAGATGACATGCTGAGCGAGTAGGTATTACCTGATCTTAGTATTCCAAAGGCATGATATACTCCCTTAGTTTTGAATCTTGTTTTTTGAAATTGTTGTTTTCTGCCCGGGTTTGTTTTACGCAAACATGAGGAGGAAATGAAACCGACAGAGAAAGGTTGCTCCTGAAGAAACAGAAGACACAAAAGTCGTATTATATTGCAGGATCAATTTGTATTCAGTTAGCTTAGGCAGCTCTGATACTCTGTAGGTCGGAGTTGTTTCTACTAATAGCCAGTTTTTGTAAGGAAAAGAGTTAATTGCCCTTTGGAAAGAGCTTAAAGGGTTTCAGTGAGTTTAACAATTTTTCTCTGCTGTGTTTTAGGTAAAAAACACACATTTTAGTTAAATAGAGTGAAAACAGTTGGGATTTAAGTCCTTTCCGAGTTACTGGAATGAAGTTTCTCCACCAGATCTAAAGGGCGTTTTAGAAACATGCTGCAAAGAAGTTCTCTGCTACAATTCAGTCTTGTATGTCTACCTTTGTAAGTCGTCTTAAAAGGGCTTGAGGGAGAAATTCTTTTTTCGGGATGCTGTACTGTGAATTAGTCCAGTGCCTGTTGATGGGCTGAATTTAAAGACCAGTTCTCTTCCACTTCCGATTTCTATAACTGAGAAGCCAGTGAGACAAGACGATGCCTTTTGCTGAGTTTTATCCCGAATTATAGGGCTGTGACACTGAACTCAAATACAGAATTTGCTTTTTTTCTGATAAGCGTTACTCTACTTTGCGGGTATATGAGAATCCTTTGTGATTCATGTAGTAAAAAGTACTTCACACAGAAACACATTTCCAGACTGTACGGATGTAATAATCAAAGGTGGTCAGATATAGATGGACATAATCTTCTGTTCGAATCTGACCATTTTCACCCGTTAGATATTTTGCTGAACAGTTTATCGGTGAGGAGATGAGCAAATACAGAACAGACATACCTGGATATTGGATTTTTAAGACTTAAGATTTTGTGTCAGAAGGCAAACTGCTTTCTGAATACCAAAGAGAAGGGGGAGAAAAGTTAAAAAGACTTTGTAGCTCTAATCTGTTCTTCCTTGAAAAGAAATGAGTATCACTAACTGTTAACACCTTGGTACAAGGCAAGTCATGGGTTTCCTTGTTCATTGCACTGTGCTACACGTTATCTTTGCAACCCTGTAATCTCTGTGTAGCATCTTAATTTAGTTCTTGCTTTTCAATCTGATTCAACTGCAGGAACAATAGCGTTCTTAGAGGATTTTGTTTGTTTGTTTGTTTTAGGGTTGGGTTTACTTGTTAATTTTCCTGTTTGTAATCGTTTCTTGTTAATATCTCTCTTCTCCGTCTTATTTTTCCTCCCTAACATGTTGGAAGTGCTCAGTTCTTTGAAATGCTTTTGTTCTTCACAGGAGAGATGTAAAAACATAGGACATCTTAAAACAATCTCTGTTGCTCATATGCTTAGATTCCAAATTGAGCAAGATAGATATCTAACTTAGCTAGAAGAAACTTGCCTTAAACTACACTTGGGCATAAACCTAAAGCATAAATTTCTTTCAATACATTATCAGAGGGTTTTGAACTCTGGACTGCATTTTCTTTTTTTCTCTTTTTTTCTCCCCCCACAGAATCACAGAATAGTTGAGATTGGAAGGGACTCTGGAGGTGATCTAGTTCAACCCCCATGCTCAAAGCGGAGTCAGGGAGAACAGGTTGCTCAGTCCAGTCAGATTTTGAATATCTGCAAAGGTGGAGACTCCCCAGCTTCTCTGGGAAAGCTGTTCCAGTGTTTGACCACCCTCGCTGTAAAAAAGGTTTTAGTATGTTTAGGTGGGATTTCTCGTATTTCAGTTTGTGCCCACTGAGAAAGGTCTGGCTCCACCTTCTTTACCCCCTTCTATCCGGTAGTTTTACACATTGGTAAGATCCCCCTGAGCCTTCTCCAGACAAAACAGTCCCATCACTCTCAGCCTGTATGGCAGATGCTCTAGTCCCTTCATTGTCTTTGTGGCCCTTGTAAGTTGTTCAGAATTTCTTCCAAATAGCTACATGTATGACCCATCGCAGCAGCTTCTTTGTCGATGAGTAGTCTCCAAATTCATTCCCAAAGTGATTTATGTTTTGCTTTTGCATATCCTTCTCCCGTGTGGCACCAATCTTTGCACTCAGTGGAAAATCCTTTCCTCGCCCATTTATTTTGCAAGCAGAGTGCCTTCACTACCACAGAACTAGCAAGGTTCTGCCGTATGCCAGGGACCCGGATTCTCGGAGTCTGTGCAGGGTCTTTACTCCTTGCATATTGTGTAGAGCAGTACGTCCGATGGGAACAATGGGAAAGGAAGGGATAGGTTTTTTCCTGATTTAACGTGGTGTTTTGGGAGAGGGGGAAAATTTCAGAAGCTTTCTATTTCCCCGCAAAAAGTAGAAGAAAAAGAAGTGATGTTTTAGCCGTGCGGGAGATGTGGCGAAGTTGTAAGCGTTCGTTTTGTTTTTCGATGCAGACACATAGCACAGGTCCCCTGGAAATCCATGGGGATGCCTACACATTTAGCAAATTAAGCTCCCCGTCAGAACTGCTTGTCACTGTTCTTACACCGCATTAAAAAAGATGTGTGTTCCTGAGGATTTGTCTGTCTTACTACCGTTTGAGTTCAGTTGTCAGGCTCGCAGGTACTATGGTCAAGTCTCTCATACTGAGAGATTAGTAGACTAGGTTATTGAAAATGGTTCTGGGTTCACATGTATCTTGAGTCTAAAAGGTGTGAATTTAAACTTTTTAAAAAAGTAATAGCTGCCAATGCAGTAAAATATATTTTATAAGACTATGATCCCTATATGTCCCTTACGGGATAAAATTTTATTGTTTTTAAGCTATGGTTTAAAGTTTTTATATGAGGGCTTCAGTCGCTTCTTGGTTGCTGGCTTTCCCCTCCAGCCCCAGGATGGAAGAGCACTGAGACTATTGCCGGTCTCTCTCTGAGACGAACCATGAAGCATTTTATATGCAAATAGAACGGGAGCTTTGTGCACCCTGCAGGGATGGAGAAAATGCAGATGTAGGAGCGCCTGTTGCTCCTACATCCGTTGCAACTTCCACACCATCAGAATATGGAAAATAGCTAATTTTCATTCAGATCGATTACGTTTGAGTTTTGCTTACAAGGTGAAACCCGGTTTTGGAGGGTTCTCATCTCCAAGTATGGACATAATAAATTCCATAGCATCTCGATGACAGATAAGAGGGTTCAAGGCCGGACGGTGCCTCAGCCACATCAGAGGTCCCTAGTAAATAGAGTCGGTTCAAAGTATTTGAGGAAATGTACCATGAAAAACAAATGTGAATTTTTTTAATGCAACAGTACTTACCGCTCTGGGTTTTTGTTAACTCAATGTGTGCTATCACAGTAATTCAGTGTCCCACAGGTCTCAACTACAAATCTGGTTGCACTAAAAAAAAAAAAAGCCGAATCAGTTTCTGGTGCTGCCAGCCTGTGTGGCAACTGTACCTACAGTCTTCCTGAGGGTTGCTGAAGTCCCCAGAGGAGTGATTTTGTTTAACCATTCGTTTAGCTGATGCATGCTTTTGATATTCTGACTTATAGCCCTGGCTACACAAAGTTCTTGGACAGCTTCTTTGCCCTGTTCCTGCAGTGCCTTCACTCTAGGTGCTGCCCTATGGTGAAACCCCGAAGAGGGAAAAGAGTAAGCTGGAGGAAAAAATGTGAATTAAATTATTGTTGGGCTTCTTTGTGCATTTTAGTAACAGTGAAACCCCCTTAACTGTGCCAGTCTCCGGTCACCAGCCGTATATCCAGTCGTCATCTCATCCACAGTACAGCTTCTCTTGTTGATGCTGGCCACAGCTAGATTACTTGGCATGTTTATTGACTTAACAGAATTGTTTTTTGGGTTTGGTTTTGTTTTTTAATGTATACGATGTTTAAATACACTTCACATTTTATATAATACTATCTGGCTATTAGTATTTTTCAGGAACCATAGTTCTTGGTGGCTATATATATTTTTGTGACTTTTTTTGTAAACTAAGTGCCGTTTCAACGTTACAATCATTTTTAGAGTTATTGTAATCAATGTGAATATCATGTTTTTTCAAATCTGTTCTGAGCCTGTAGTGTTTGCTTTGTGATCATATGTGTAATGTATATATTCTGTATAGTTACATTGTATTGAAATACTAGCTTGTTTGATATAAGAAAAGTATGTATTGGGTACCTTTTTGCTAGCCTGGTTGTTTAATCTTTAAAAAAAAAAGTTCTAAAATACAAAACAAAAAAAAAATCTCCAAACTGGTCCCATTATAGGTCAAAATTAAGGGGGGAGAAAAACTAGTTTTGAGTGTCTTTGGATAGAAACATGAAGCTAAGATTTTTCATTAAAATATTAATGTTTTATGGAGTATATCTTTGCTTTGTGTCGTTATTTAACTATACCAGAGTTTGTCTTACAGCACAAAAGACTAGCTTTGACCTTGTGTAAGAAGGTGCGACTCTGTTGCTAGAGCTACATTCTCTTATAACTTTTGCTTATAATTAGTCTCAAAATAGTTGCGTATGTGGAGAACTCACTGTTGCCGAAGCTGTCGTTGGGAGGAAGGTAGTTTAAAACAAAATAAGCATTAATAAATGATTGGAGAATTACATGAGTAAAGAGTATTAAGAATAAAGTACACATTTCTGTTTAATTTTCCATTGTATATTACATTTCCTTTTGTTAATGTTCTCTTTTAGGCTGTATTCTGCAAAAGCGGTGGGGCCATCTTTTGAACGGGGTTTTATTGATGGAAAGCCAGCCAAGAATGAGCCTAATAATCAAATTAGTCAAAGCAGAAGATGATGTTTAAAAAGGACAGTAGACAGAGTCATCGCGATCGCAGCTGTGAGCTTCAAAATACTCATGAAACAGCCTAGAGTCATGGGACTTAAAATACACCTCTGCTGTTTCTGGCAACCCTTGCAGTTAAATTAATTTGCCTCCTACAGACCCACCTGTCTGACCGAGCTGGAAAGCTGGCTGGATCAACACATAGCTAGGGCACAGGTAGGAAAATGGAAGTTTTGTAACTGCTTGGCTGAAACGACTATAACTCTGCCCGGTAGCCTATATGAATAACAAGCAGGCTGGCATGATTAATACGCTAGCAGTCAAATTGTGTTCAGCATCTGACACGGGAGTGAAAACGAAAATGGAAAAGCATTCCGCGGTGCAGAGTAAGCAGCCGCAATGAACCTTGGATGGGGGAGTTTGAGAGCTTCTGAATTCCGAGTTCTCATTTTCCTGAGGACCTTGCGTAGGGACAGAAGTATTTTATCAAAAGCGTAATTGGAAGAGGGAACGTAGCTGGTGAAGGGTTTGGAGAGAATTAAGTTTGAGATGCAAAGGCTTTGAGTCTGTTGGTCTCCCGCAAAAGCAAGAATTTTGCTTCTTTGAAGACAGACAGACCCAGTTAGGAGTATGCAGTGATGCTCAGCAGACCATTACAAATCTAAAGCCTGTATGACTGTATATGAGCATATACTATCATAAAGCTAAGGCGAGACTGCTAAAATGCATACCTTTGATGGATATCGAGGTTCAGACTTGTGACGCGAGTGGATTTTTCCAAAGCACAACCATATGTTTAAGTTTAGCAAGAAACATCTCTTAGACGTCCTTAACGAAGCAAGTGTACACTATTAAAGTTTTTCTGTGGCCTCCTTATAGCGTTTAAGCGTTTTATTCCTGACAGTAACAAAGTACTATTTCTTTTGCGCAGAGGAGAGTGGCTGAGATGAGATTGAACTCATAGCTACCGAGAACGTAGTAGAGCAGGGAACAGAGTTCTCCCAGGGCTTACTGCACCATTCCTACGTATGTGGTATCCTGGTGAAAACGAACCTGCTAAGAGAAACCTGGCTTGGATTATGTATAAAGCGCTTTTCCCAAGCTGCTTGTGCATGCTGCATCTCCAGAGTACCGAGCATGACTCTGTCATCACCATTCTTAGAGCAGAGATCGCTGTGAGACCATGAGCAAGCAGAGCAGGGGTAAGTGTGTACCTGTTAGAGCCTCGGTTACAGCTCAGAGACACGTGGTTTTCAGTCATTCTGATTTTTGGGATCTGTTAACACTTTTTTCAGAGGAGACACGCACTCTTGAATAGCACATTTACACTTACTGACAGTAGCCCTCGTTTTCGTAGCTGCCTTTCACAAATCCTTTAGAAATAGGCCACAGACACCCAGAGTGAACACCGTGTGTTTGAAAACCACTCTAAAGGCTTGAGGTAACTGCCTTTGATCGTGAGTTGCCTTTGTCTCAGCCACAAGGTCTCCCGGTGAAGATCAGAGAGCAACTCGCGGGGCATCTATTTGTGTATCTCACTTGAACCTTTACCTCTGATTGTTGAAATTTGGTCTCTTCTGTCCAAATTTTGAAGTTAATGACCTCAACGTAAGAGAGGTGCTATGCTCAACTGTATGTTAATTTGTGTGGCTGGGGCACTATCACTGACTTTTAGATGCCCCCCCCCCATTTCGAATACAACTGATTGGATTTATGTGGGAGTATCTTTGAGAATGCATCCGCTGCATCTGGCTAAACTGCATTCCCAGTCTTCCATAGGG